GAAATTTCAAAACAAAAATAGGACTTTTCAAACTCCCATTTATTTTCAAAATAAGTTAACTCTGAAACCCCCTAATGATTTTTTTTCAAATGTAGATCTGCCTGATTTCTATTGACGGCAGCCCATATGATCATATGTCAGATACTCTTCCCTTAATTTCTATTAGTACAATTCTTTGTTTTGGCGCCTTTTAAATGTAAAAGTTTAATCCGTACAAGTTGCATTTTAAGCAGATGCAATGTATGTTTTATTAGATTATCGAAAATAGGAAATATCATGTAAATTAATAATTTGTGACAATAGATTCTTTCAACCTTTGAAAATACTTTCGAATCTTAAAATTCGGTAGCAAGTTAAATTGATCACTCGTAATCATGTCTACTTAAAAATCAATAATAAACGCCTTTAAATTCAAATAGATCTATATGCGCATTATCAATTATTAAACTCCTTCATGAACTGATAATTTCAATTAAATTTAAATAACACCAAATTAATCTCTGCTACAATCTTGGTTATTTAGGGACATTATTCTATAGTTTCTAGAGATTTTAGATATTTCTGGTATTTTGGGATTCTCTTACTATCGAATGCTCTTTTTTTTTTTTACCCTTTCACAATATACGCCATATATGTTTAATTTAATTTTTCAACTGCATCGTACCAGGCCCCTAGAACTCATGTCCGCATTTATTCTTATTGCATATTAATTTCCAATGTACTCCAAATATGTTTAACGGTATTTGTCTACCAACACGTACTATAAAAGGAAATGGACCGAACTTTCGATTACATGCATTTAGAGAACAATATGAAAATTTAAATTTATGGATGTTAAAACATATTTGAGCCAGTATTTGAGGTCGCATTTAGAGAGTTGTTGTATTTATGGGTTGCATTTAGGGAGGTGTTGCACTTTGGGAGTTGCATTTAATAGGTTGACCGTATTCCGCAAAATACTGTGTACTCATCTTGGAAAATGTAACTTCAACGTCTGTTGTTACAATTTTAGACACACATAATGTCTACAATACAGCATTAAATTGAAAATATTCGAAGTTCAAGAAATCTATAAAAAAAATCTATAAAAAAGCTTGGAATTCCTCCATGTTAAATCTCAACAAGTTTTGTAGTTTCTAATTAAATTGTAACAAGTTTTTGTTTCTAATTAAGCTCATTAAGCTCGAATTTTGACGTAAGTAACTTCATTCAACTAATCTATAATTAATCCATAATTAAACTATAATTTATTCGATTAATGTCATTCGATTTTTTTTTCTCCTTAAAATTCTATAGATACACGAACTTATTTGATAAAAAGGTTATCATGATGGTTAAACTAGAAATTCTCTCAATATTGGTTATTCTTTTGTTCAGCGCAAGCTGCTCGTATGCCGGTAATTCCGGTGGCAATTCCGGTAACTGTTGCTCAGGTGGATCTCTTTTTGATGTACCTTCTCTTAACATGACTCCCACAGTAGTCGGAAATATTATCTAATATTAATATGTCTATTAAACTGCAAACTCATAATAATCTTATTCTCTTTAAAAACAGAGTTTCCCGAAGGCATTGTGATACCACAAAATATCACACCTCCAGCTAACAATGTACTTAATCGTTGGTGGATATAGCTGGCATCAATGTGTTAATGGCGAATGGATATTTGGTATGTACTGTACATACCTGATAAGCGTTTCACGTGACTTTTGATTTTTAGTACTTATTCTAATTCTATATTTAAATTTTAGAGGAAAGTCGTGCATTACTTTTTAATCATGAAAATGATCTATCTTGCTATCCTCTTTCACCATGTGCCGCAACATTTAAAAATACTGGTATTTGATAATATATATTTTTCATTAATATTATTGAATATGATTTTCTTCTGAATTAAAGGGTGGTATAATACACTAAATTCTTTGTTATAATCATTGTCGGCATTTATTATTATTATTAATAGCTGTGCAAGATGCTCCAAATGTCACTTCACTTGGTATTAGATCAATTATTTCAGACTACGATACCTCACAATTGTTTGCAACTGCAATTGGTGCCATTCCGAAACCTGATTTAAGAGATATTCCTCTCGGAATTGAAAAGACTAGTGTATTTATTAGTTTTATTAGTTTTATTAGATATTTTTTGTAAAAAAAAAATTTATAATGCAATTAACATTTATTTTTTTAAAATAAATAGAATAATTCAGGAACTGGGGCGTTTTCTGACATTACTTATATTGTTCGTCCTAAAACTAAAGGTGGAAATGCACCGACAATACCATGTATGTTGAGTTTACAATGCTAAATTATTGTTATTTTTTTATTAATTATATATATACCTTTTTGGGCGGTAGCGGTAGTGATCAATTCCCAGAAGGATATATTCATTCCGAACCATTTATCGTATATAATTTATTCTACCACTCTAATGCTACATCTAGTAAACGGTCTAGCAAACAATAACTATAAACCAGGCCATCCTTAATAAAATCGGACCATTTGTTAGTGAGATTGGTCCGTATCCCTGAAAAATAATATAGAATTTAATTTTTAATATTAATTTTTATACTATTTGTGACTCTCATTAATGGTTCAAAACATCTAATGATTACTGTACGTTATAAAATTCTAATATAATATTTAATATTAATAAATTGTTCTCCTCTTATAATTCTTTTATAATAAAATTTTCGCCGGTCACGAATGTCTTAAATAAGCACATAAGTTCCCTTTTGTCCTTTTTAACAACTTACATAACTTATTTTTTCTTGGCTTTTACAGATCTCCTTGAACCAACTTATGGTTCGAAATAACCCAATTCGGGTCTTTTTGAACTAACCTCTTGTTTGAAGTAAACCAACTTCTGGTTCAAAATAATTTGATTTGGTTACTTTGAACCAACTTCTGGTTCTGTTTGAAGTGACCTGATTCAGGTTACTTTAATCCAACTTCTGGTTTAAAGTAACCAAAATTGAGTCTTTTAAACCAACTCCTGTTTAACATGGTCCAAATTGGGTCTTTTAATCCAATTTTTGGTTCAAACCAACCCAAATTAGCTATTTTAACTAAATACTGGTTAACATGATTCAAATCAGATTACTTCAATTCATTTTCTAGTTTGAAGTAACTAAATTAGGTTATTTTAATCCAAATTATTATTTTACTTTTTTTTAATATTTAATAAGGTTTGGTTTTTAAGCTTTATTTTTAATAATATTTAGTAGTACGTACTTTACACACATACAAGTATTAAGACTTGCACTAGATTTTAGCTATATGTATTTAAGTATTACTTTTTGATATAAATATATATTTTAACGTGTCAAGTATGTAACCTTCATTGAAATTTAATTAATTAATTGTCTGGATCGTAGCGAAGGACATATATTGGACGAGTAAAGTACATCAAAAGTTACGTTTTTGATGCATCAAAAGTTACGATGTTGATGCATCATAGT